TGTTTTAGTCCCTTAATGCCGAGCACCAGACAGGGCAACAACAAGTAACATCTTTTAACCTCTTTGTACTAGATGCAAAATATACTAATAAACAAGGTGGAAGCAGTTGCAAAATAAGTGAGGGAGTGGAAGTATAACCAATATTACAGCATTTCACTGCGGGGAACGGGGTGGTAGGCACAATAAATCGGCTTCACATGCAAACCATTCTCTACCTGGCTACCAGACCACCGTATTGAAAATGAAAAAGCAATAAAACATTCCTGAAAATTGATTAGATCGATGAATATATCAGCTTGAACATATCTGCAGCCAAGTCACCAAAGATGAATACTTTATCTGGAATTTGAAAAATGTAACATACAAACAATTATACATAATGAATACTCTGTTCAATGTCATTTGGCAAAGTCTTGGATCATCGGCATTTCCTGTCACAATAACCCGACACATCATGCTCCATGTATAACTGAAATATTCAAAGCGGCGTAAAGCCAAACTCTCTCATTTAAAAATATAATGAAATCCTTTTTCCATGATTGTGTTTCTCTTTTATTCATAATTCCGTTAACGAAAACAACTCAGAGCATCATTGAGGTCCAATCTGCGAGATAGAATTATGACAGTGTCAAATCCGCAATGCTTGATGCTTGATACTTTTGTGGATTATGCAGAAAAGTGACAGTATCACTGTCAGCATCCTTCGCAAAATGTTTTAAATGAAGAAATTACTTGTCACAATTCCCTTGAAACCCTCTTCCGTCTTCGTATGGGTATGAGTTAGGCATAATTACAGCAATTGATGTTCCGATGGATCCAATGAAGAGAAGATGTGCATCGTGATAAACGAACTGTCCTTTCTTCAAGAACAGCTGCACGTTTCTCGCGTATCGTTGGATGTTTGCGGGGATGAACTTTCTGCGCGTTGGAGTTAAAGTCGAAACTTTAGAATAACGGATTTTTTACTGTTGTACCCACCACTATCGATTGCTATCATAAAGGGCAACGCACACCAGGACTAAACGGTTGCCCTTTTGGGTTTATACAACCGATTTGTCAGTAAGACTAATGCATATATCAGGGAACTATAATGTGGCGCAGCATCCGTTTCCCACTGAGGCAAATCAAGCTGAATGGCGGTACATGTTCAGGAATTGGATAGCACGACCCACACATACATGTGAGTATCGCCATACGCTATTGACTCTGTGTTGTGTTGGTCGTTGCACATTACCCGTGATAGCTATCGAGATGTTTTCCATGGGTATCTCCGTATAACTTGAAAGTATGACTTATCATGGACAGATGTAATGTCTGATTTGGACGTTCTGAATTGCGCGTTCTCGCGTGTTTGGTGAGGATGTGATACACGACAGGCAGGGGTTATTTGTAAACGAATGTTACCCTTTCAGCAAAGTCTGGCGTCAGCTGTGAAAGTACACCCAAACGAGCTTGCCTATTCTGACATTACCGTTCAGTGTTCGTTGCACGTTATGTTCTGTTTCGACAGAGCGAATAATCACAATAACATCCTAATTTAGCACGTTTCTGATCAGACTTAAAAAGCAGGAAAATCTCCATCGTGTACATGTATATTTAGTATGAAGAAGGGCGTAACTGGTTTTGTTATAAACTGTCTCTATGGCATTGGTTATTGGCATATGAATTGTGACTGGACAAGCGTCTGATATATTCTATAAGGAGCAATCGAACATATTTGACAGATTAATACTTTGGTTTTGGCATCGAGAAATAACGACAGTTTTTCAAAACACTATAGGATTAAAATAACTTTCAGTTTCACGGGAAGATTGCCCTCCGATTGAATTCATTCACAAAAAAGGACTTCCATCGACATGTTATAATCACGTTTAGGATTAGAGATGTTAAAATAACAAAATGCCAATATCATATTCGTCTATCACAGGGATCCTTTTGGGATCATTTCCGACTAAGCTATCTCGGATGCAATGACATTTAGAAACTATTCATTGATACAGGTTCGGTGGGGGAGGAGTTGGCGCCTTCTGGTTAAAGCGTTCATTCGTTCATTCGTCACGTCGAAGACCCCAGTTCGATTCCCCACATGAGTACAATGTGTGAAGCCCATTTCTGGTTTGCCCCGCCACGATATTGCTGGAATATTGTTAACAGCGGCATACCATACTTACTCACTCATTCATTGGTACAGACTGTGCTACAGGTATTACATATTAGTTTACAAATATACCTTTATTCTAGAGACCCGCGAGCCCATCTCGACCATGATTACAAGGTTGATCTTTTATGATCATTCAAACATCCTTTAAAGTACTGATATATATTCTTAAACATTGGTCAGGCAAAACACCGTGGTATTATAGTACTTGCATGCGTGTTAATTATTTCATAGTTCCTTATGATTCAACAAATAAGAATTTTGCAACACGTCTCATTTACTTTAACTAATGTAGTATAGCTATTGCTCTGTCAGAATAGTCCGTACATATGTCTGTCGGTATTGTTTGTTTGTTGTCCAACTCCACTATATTCCAGCTATATGACGGCGGGCTGTAAATAATCGAGCCTGGACCAGACAATCCAGTGATTGACACCGTGTGCATTGAACAATGCAATTGGTATTTGATGACATGCGTCAACCAAGTCAGAGAGCCTGACCAACAGATCACGTTAGTCTCCTCTTTCGACAAGAATGGGTTGCTGAAGACCAATTCTAACACGGATCTCCGAGGGGTCTGTCTGTATCGATGTGTGAAGCAAGGCACTGTGCTGTGCTTATTATATTATCTGTCATTCTTGATATGTGTTAATACATCTTTATATCGAATGTACTTACATAACCGAACACCGGGTTATTGGAAAGCAAGGGAATTGACCGTTGTTGTTATAAATAGACTGTAGATATGTCAAACCTTACACCCATTGCACGCATCGTTAAAACCAATAAAGCACTGACCAGGAAGGGTTACTCCAGATCTTCAAAGGTTCTTGGACGCATTTGTTATGTGCTGGTCAAAAGGGGCGTGTGTAGTACGTCGAAAAACGTACGTCAAGAAGACAGTGTTTTCACAGTCACAATTAAAACTTCACGGCGAAATTTAGAAGGAGTCTAGCATCCCACCGAGTAGACAAAGATGGTATAAAAATATACCTTTAAGTGAAAGATTGCTTGTGTTTTATTGTGCTGTCCGTTTTAAGAGGTCTACAGAAAAAACAAGTTTGAAAGATGTTCTAATTTCAGTCTGACAATTTCAACAAATATTTTAAACAAAAATTTAAAAAATAGATTTTGTTTTTTTCAATCTTGATATTGATATGCTGCCAAAACCTGCCATAGTAACTTGTTTGTTTCTGTATGGTCTTATGTAATCGTTTTGTATAAGTATTAAATCTGAACGAGTGGCACGGCTCAAATTTCAGCTGGGTGAGAGTAGAGCTGTAACCTGTAACAGTGTTGTGCACGTGGCTGACAACTGTGTATACTACGCACGTGCATTGCGCGCTGAGCCAAACTACCTCTGAAATATATCTGGATCCTCCCAAGGATGTAGGCCGCCCACTGCTCACACATGTGCCCCCGTGCATCTTTACAAAATCTTTACCAGCGTCCAGCGCGAACACCAACTACACATATCAACGATAAGACGTTAGTTCTTTAACATTTTTACCATGGGTAATATCAATAGGACCTACACCTAAAATGTTTCACAAACGTTGTTTTGATATCTGTATTACAATAACATCAAGAACTTTGTGCTTGAATGTGAGAAGTATGTGGGAGTCGCTACCAGATGATATAGTGAAATGTGCTCCCTTAGCCTTTCGCACGTGCATCTCTCTCTATGGCGATTTTGGTTTTCGTGTCCAAGACCAAGCATAAGAATTATATTGCACCAACTCATCCTTAACAATCGCCTAAATACAGTAAAGTACGGTTATAACGAACTCAAAGGGACTACTAATTTTAGTTCGTTATAACCGTAGTTCGTTATAAGCATATATACAGCATAACTACAGCAAATAGTCGGGACCAAAAAAGTAAGTTCGTTATATCCGTCAGTTCGTTGTAACCGTGTTCGTTATAACCGTAGTTTACTGTAGTTCTTGTTCGTGATGATGGGTTTGTAATCATGATCAAGAAAAGACTACGTGTGTGTATTCATATCATTATTTCAACGAGAAGCTACACTCGTCCATGTACATTCACTTCATAGAATAACATGCTAAATAAAAACGAATATCACCAATTATAAACGGATTAACTATAAATTTTGATGTCTGTCAAAATTTCATTGTTAGTTCCAAAAAGTCTTTCTCTGTAGTTGCGGTTGAACGCTATACTCGTTCTCCTCAGGTACAGACTTCGCGAGTTTTAATCCCGCTGGAGGCTCTGGATGAAGTTAATCCATCATCAAATTAAATGAAATCAAAGGAAAAAGTTCCATCTGTGTCAAGTGGTCTTTAACTAGCAATTGAGTCAATAAAAAGCCGGACAAAGACAAATGAGCCATGGCTAAAACTTCTTTTAGTGTTAGTGATTACTTTGCTGCAGTGCCTAGAGGTCGGTGCAGGATCCCCCATGTATATGCGAACGTCAGTAAGCATTTTTAAACTGATCTGAATAAATACGTCAGCCACAGACATATACACATCATTAATCGCAATATTAACCGCGGCTTCGTTTGGTATGGATGGTCGAAAGTGCTTCAACGCGCATTTCAGAGTTACACCCTTACAGGAGCGCGGATGGCCCAGTCGTCTTAGGCGCACCGCCCTTTCCTTAGGCATGCTCGAAACATATGATCGTGGGTTCGAATCCCCGTACGCCCTGATTATGTTTCTAAGAACCATACCTGTGCTCGTGAGTTTCGCTACATGCATCACTTCGGGCTTTCCTCTCAGGTGGCACGTGTTGATACAACAAAAATACTGTGTGTTTAACAAACTCACTGACTCACTCTCTCCTTCACTCACGCGGGGTTCAACAGTGTGGAACTCACCATTACATGGAATGTAGGGGCAGATAATCCGACTGCAACTATCCATACACAAGGAAGTATCTTTTTGGTATTTCCCAAGGTGCACAGGGTTCGAGCCTTCATTGGGTGGACGATGACAATGTACCTAAAACATATAATTTATGAAAGCATTGATGAGAAAATATGAGATATTGCCTTGGCATATGCACCAAGTAATGAAGACATGTTATCATTAAGTGTCTGTTGAAATATGTATGACGGAATGAGTCATAGGGGACTTTGCAAATATCAATGTGTTTGGTGTTTAACGCCGCTCTCAGCAATGTTCCAGATATATGACGGCGTTTTGTAAATAATCGAGTCTGGACCAGACAATCCAGTGGATGACATCATGAGCATCGATCCACGCAAGCAAGTCCGCAAGCCTAACACGATCCCTCAGTCGCCTTTTACTGCAAACATTGGTTGCTGAAGACCTATTCTAGCCCGGCTCTTCACGATACAGGACATAAATGTACATGTACATGTTCAAAACGAAGACAAGATTTCAAATATATACCAATATAATGCTACAAAACGTTTCAATATTTTGGAACATGCTGCGAATTATATTATAAATAAGAATGAGTAATGGTTATGTCTAAGTAATTTAAGTGTAGGTGGAAACTGTTGTTAATATGAAAATGGTCAGTGACAGTAAATGATTGAATTACGAGTACAACATATCCAATGCTGTTGTTGTAAGATTTGAACTGCAGTCAAAACCATCATATTGAGTTCTTTGAGAATGGTTCCGTCTACAATTAGAGTTATCTATGGGGATTGTGTGATAATGTGTGACCTGACTGATGATATGTGTCATTGTTTCCCGATAATAGCTCATGTCATCAGTCATAGTTTTGCCGCACCGAGGTTATAAGTCAAGTAAATTAGCAAGGCACTCTTAACAAATTTCAACGGAAACGAGTTCAACTGATTTACACTGAGATTATATCCCAAAATATCATAATAAAAGTCTACCAAAATCGGAGTGATGAAACACTGTAAAATTTAAACTCAAAAGTCACGGGGTACGCCACGTGGGTTTCACCAAAGTAGTAAACGTATGAAACATGCATCCCTTTTTGTCTTCCTCCTACATTAAGCTGACATCCGTGAAATAACATGAATACTGTTCAAAGCGGGGTTAAACCCAAATCACTCACACTCAAGTCTTTCAATGCTGTACATTAAATAAGGATAAATTACATTAATATGAAATGTATCTGTGTAGGAACACATATACTGTTGTTCATCACTGACATCAGGATTTCGGGCATTCCAGCAAGCACATCCATGACATAAATCACACAAAGATGTACACCTCAATCCATGTTTCATACAGCTGCATCGCTTGGAGTCGCACACGTTTGATTTACAGTTAAATTTGATGTAACACAATTATTCTGGTGCTCGTGGGAAATATGTATCATGTTGTTGCCAAATGCCTTCCAACCCTAGTCTTTATGATTATGTCCGGCTGTTTTCCTTTCCCTTCTCGGATTTGGGAGTAAACTGTGATGTCGGGGGTGGACTCTGGGGATAGAGTGAGTGAGTTGGGTTTGACGCCGCTTTTAAAAGTATTCCAGTTATATCACGGCGTGTCAGCTTAATATGGGAGAAAAGCCCAAAGTGATGCAGGTCTCAGACGTTTACCACTTTGGTGAAACCCACGAGCACGTGTATGGTGCTGACAAACCTAGAAACATAATCGGGGCGAACAGGGATTCGAACCCACAATCATAGGTTTCTTGCGTACCCAAGAGACGCAACTATGCACAGCGAATCGCGGCGCCTTAGACGACTGGGCCACCCGTGCCCCCCTCTGGGGATGGACATGGACATGGTTTGAGGCAACCTTCTGTGTCTTTATATATCACGTCTTCACGAGGTTAACGTTTTGAAAGACAAACGGTTCCTTTCTCTCCAGCTTCAATGCCGTGCTTCGATTATCGTATACTTCACAGTTACTGTTTTCTGTTAGTAATGAATTGTAATGAATTGTGATTGTGTCAGTAGTGTTAACCACATATCTATCTGACATTTTACCTCAATACAAAAGAATGTATTCCACGTATCTGCCCCGTGTAAAAAAATAGTAGGGTGTGTCACGTTGTTTTTGGATTAACACATGCACAATGCAGTGGCACATTTGCAAGTAACGATTCTCATTCATGGCAACAATAAGTATGCTGAAAATGGAAATACGGATAAATGTATTTGTCTATGTGAAAAGTGGTGAAACAGCTGGCCCCTTGCGTACAATACAAAAACACAGGGGCCTTATGAGACTCCTACACCATTTCACCTTCGCGATAGCACTAAATAGCCTCTATACATTATGAATGAGCTCGGAATGAGATAACCAGATGAGGCAGTGGTAACCTTCATGCATCTCCAAAGACTTCAACATCTATTTTTAATCTATGGCCCAAACAAAGTACAACCTCATCCATATGTTATAATGAACTAAACAATATTTGATACAGCAACATATTTTTGTAAAAGCAAGCGTTTTTGAAGGCAAACGTTCTGCTGCTGTTTGACAAGAAAACTACATGATGCACGTGTTTAGGAACGAAAGTAGTGAGAAAAACATGTGGGACCAAAATGAAGAAAATAAAATAAATCATTCCGTTAATCTTTACAGACACAATCTGTGTTTTGTGGTTTGAAGCTGCTTTTCACAGCACGTAAGTCGAATCACAGTGATCAGCTTTAATGACACTCCAAATGAATGAATGTAACAGACATTTACCACTTTGGTAAAGATGGTAAAACCCAAGAGTAAGCATCCGGTTGTGCCATTGTCATTACGAGTGAGTGGAACGATTGAGTGAGTGAGTGGGAATCAATCATGGAATCTGTGTCGGTGGATAATCAACGCTGTGATCTTGTATGAACGTTTTATATTGTGATGTGTGTTTGTTTGTTGTTTAACGCCGTTCTCAGCAATATTCCAGCTATATGACGGCGGTCTGAAAATGATCGAGTCTGGACCAGACAATCCAGTGATTGATATCATGAGCATCGATCCACGCGATTGGGATACGATGACATGCATCAACCAAGTCATAGAGCCTGACCACCCGATCCCTTTAGTCGCCTCTTACGACAAGCACAGACGCCTTTTATGGCAAGCATGGGTTGCTGAAGACCTATTCTACCCCGGATCTTCACGGGTCTTTTATATAATGAAAAACGATTAAAACGAAGGTTGAAAAAATGGTTTGACTATCATTCATCTCTCTTAGAATGTAAATTGTTTACACATTACGCTCCTTCACAACGTTTGGAGCTATAAAAATCCTTCATTTCCATATTTTTTGCATATGCTAACCGTTAATAATTGTTGACGTTGTTTTGTAATTTATCCTGACAAAGCGATCTCCCATATGGAATATGTCGAGTTAAAGTCTCAATATTGCCAGAATCAATTGGAATATTTTGATAAATGATCCATCTAGACCCTAGGCCGACAACATGTTGATCCACCTCAGTGTTATCCGTGATCAAATATTATCCTTTCCTATCAACCCAAGGCATTTTCATTGATTACATCATCCACGCGGGGACTTAGTGCTGATATTTATGTAACAGAGGTGACGGGCAATGTCATTTTGGGGATTCCAAAGAGGAATGGATTTTGTTCAAGTGGCCAGTACTGACATCTCCCAGACACACTTTGCTAAGATTCCCAGCTGAGATGTTACCTTCAATACTTCGAGTGCCTAAACGGTGTTGTTTTGATAATAGGGAACGTAAACTTACACGTTTTAGTACCAGACAAATTTCATTCAATAACTTTTGACGAATACATATCGACCGATGGAGTGTTAGATTGCCCTTGCTTCCTGTAACGCAACGTAATGATAGTCAGAACAAAAACCTGTCTTCTACAACGCTCCAATGACGATATCCCTGTATCAACCCCAATAACGAATATTTATTGATCTATGCATGTAATTTCTTTACATTGTGCACGGTTACACACATATTTATGATAAAAGGGATGTCTTTATGTTTCTATAGTCAGTTTCCACTTCCTGTAAGTGTTGTACCAAGTTTCTGGTGTAAAGGTTATGTAAGTGCCCAGTGATATGCACTTTTGTCAACTGATATGCATCTTGTCAGCATGTTTAAATTCTAAATATGTTTAAATTATCGGGATGTTGTGTTTAGGTGGTGTTTAGGCTGTGAGACGAGAGCTCATTGCATGTGCTTAGAGCCTAAGCATGTTTTGATAGAACTCTTCAAACATGCATTCCGTTTTGGATGTAAACACATTTCTTAACATTTCTTGTATGCGTTTACTTTCTGAACACATTTTTAAAGTTTATTACAAAGTATCAGTTGCTACATTCTTCTTAATTATCAATCTGTCCATGATGTGTTGTGCATAAATATAATCTAAGATTTAGTTTTAGGATATATTTATGAATGCGTTTTTGGTATTTAGATTATTAATCATAAAATGTAAAAAATACACTGAATTCAATTGCAGTTTCTGTTCAAAAACGTTCGACCTTGATTTATAATCCCTTTTAGGAAATATGTTTTATGGGTAATTTTCTTTCTTAACTTGGCCATGGTTTTGTTATGAAATGATATGTCCATGTGACGTTTATAGCAGTTTATCATGATAAAATGAAGACTGTAACTACATGTACACGTTGTGCGATACCCACGCACAACGACACAGAGCGGGATACGACATATGATTACAACTTCACTTCCCCGACGAAAGAACTGACACAATGACATGGCGAATGGACGTGTGTCCTGTGCAATAAATCAGATCCATTCCGATAGCCCTCTGGGGATGGGCGTTGGACAGCATGTGATTTCTGAGAAGAGACTACTTGTTGGAGGCGATTTTAGTGTTACGATTATTTGCAAGAACCTCGACAAGTGAGGGTTTTGAATAAAACACAACGTGTCATCGTGGAGCCAACGATACGCACTTCAAAGCTTTTTCTATCCGAAAATGAAAAATATGACCTTATAAATACTACTGTGATGGAAAAGTCGCACACATAAACTCATTTATGGTTCTGGTTAGATATTCATACTTATTACATATATTCTGAATTACATTTCAATGAG